CGGGAGCCGCGAGGGCCCGATGACGGCTGGGGGTGGCCCTGGAAGAGGAAGAAGTGGGACAAGGCGGTCATGGCTTGGCCGGCTGGGGGTCTGCTAGTGCCCCCAGCAGGTCTCCCTGCCCCCATCCAGGTGGGGCATGGCCTAGGCTCAGTAGGGTGATGCCCACCCAGCCCCTGCAGGACGTTGCACTGGTGGGCAGAGACTCAGAGGGAGAGAGGAGCCCGCAGGTTGGCCTCACTGCCATCTTCCAGGACAGTGCCACAAGACAGGCTGGAACTGTGGATCAGGACAGCTGTCAGCACCAGGCCCTCACTGCCAAGTGAGTATCAACTTGGACAGGTGTTTTAAGACCCCTGGCTGGAAAAGAGGGATGGACTTTCCCCCCAGACCACAATAAAGCTGCGTGGGTCCCCTGGTCAGACCCTCCAGCCTCACACCCTGTCCAGGTGGATGGGGCAGCACAGTACCTGGACACCCAGTCCCTGCCACCGCCACCTCTGAGCCCCGGCCAGGAGCTCCCCACCCATGGGACCCAGCCCTGTATGGGCACAGGGCATAGCAGCAGGCCCCAGTGGTGTCAGGAGGAGTTTGGGATCAGTCACAGCTCGGGGCTGCCATGTGATACCCACAGGGTAAAGACCCTGGCAGGGCTCCTGCATGGAGGGGCCCAGATACCAAGCAACCAGCATGGTGCTGCCCTGATGGTCAAAGCAGTCAGGACAGGGGGGGCCCTGGGTGTTAACACAGACATGCTGCCACCTCCAACTTCCAATCTGGGCCTCCCAGTGCCCCCGAGCTGGTGGGAAGCGGGGTGGTGTGGAAGGTCCCAGTGCCCCCACTCTACAGCCAAGGATCTGGGGGGCAGACAGGGATCTCTCATGGGAGAGGGGTAAAAAGGAGCCAGCAAGATGATACCCTCCCCGGGTTGGGCTCCTGCTCTGAGGGGAGGGGCTGAGAGGAGTCCCATAGGTTTGCTCAGGGTCACAACAGTTCCTAGAAGCATGTTGGGGGGTATAGGCAGGCATCTCAAAGCAGGCCTGGGATGGGGAGGATCCCCACAGCCTCACTCACCGGGGTCGTCAGAGTCCGAGGTAGGGGGAGTCTCGGCAGGCTGCCCTGGCGGGGGCTGGCTGTCAGCGGCCGCGGGCAGTGGGGGCAGCGGGGGCAGCTGGAACTCAGCCAGGTTGGTCTCATCCGAGCTGCCTTCATGCAGCAGGGGCACAGCCTCGTGCTCCTCTGTCTTGAAAAGCACCAGGCCCTCGCTGGGGTCCTCTGCCACCTCGCACGGCGCCTCCTCGGACCCACTGACGTCCGTGTCCTCGGGCTCCCGGCCCGGCCCAGGCAGGAGGCGCGGCCGCCCACCCGGGTTGCCCGCCAGGATGCGGGACAGCTCCTTGTAGAAGGGGCAGGTGGCACGCTTGGTGCCGGCCCGGCGGTTGGCATCCCGCGTCTGCTTGTAGTGGCGCCTCAGATCCTTGGCTTTGTTGCGGCACTGCTGCCCATCGCGATTGTGGCCCCGTGCCGCCATGCGCAGGGCGATGGCGTCGTACACGGCCTGGTTGCGGTGGTTTTTGCGCAGCGCCAGCTGCACCGACTCTTCCCCCCACAGGGCGATAAGGTCGCGCACCTCTTCCCGCTTCCAGTTGGCCGCGCGGCGGATGGCTCCGGCCATGCTGCTGGGCTGGGCGGGCAGGCGGGCTGTGGGCGGGGAAGCCGGAGTGTGAAGGACAATGTGGGGAGTGGGGAAGGAGCCGGGTCCCAGGGAAAGGAAGGGGGGCTGAGTTCGGGGCCGGAGCCATCGTGGACACAGCCACCAGAGGGGGAAAGGGAAGGCCGCAAAGGGATTTTGCCAGGCTAGCCTAAACCAGGAGAGGAGCAGACAGACGAAACCTACCCCGTGCAGATTTAACCCTGATCCACCCCGATGAACTAAGAGCAGAGCTTGGCCCGCCTGTCCCTCACTTGCCTTAACCCAGCTTCAGGCTTAACGTGCATCAAGCACTTCACCTGTCTGCACCCTCAAGCATGCTACCCGTTAACGAGCTGGCCCAGGGGCTGCGTGGACACAGGCAGGGGAGTCCAAAGCTCTGGGGTCTGTCCCCGGCTCTGCCACTGACCTGGTATGCGAGCATGGACAGGTCACCACCTCTCTGTGCCTCAGTTTCCCCTGGGCTACTCAGCTTCTTGTGGCGGGGCCTCTCTTTCTCTGGCTCTGCGCAGCACTCGGCGCCACGGGGCCCAGAGTTTGGCGGAGGCTGCGGGAATATAAATAAGAAGCAGGGGGTTGAAGGGAGCAGGGGTCAGAGAAAGCAGCCTGGTTCCTGTCCTGGGAGGCGGGGAGGGGGAGCTGCTCCCCCCAGACAAGGTCAAGTCAGCTTCTTGGGGAACGGAGGGGAGGGGGGAGTAAATCTCGCTTCTGCCTGCCCCGAGATCGAGTCCTACCGCCAGCTGCACCAGACGCAAATCCTGCCCCCCGCCCCGGGAATTAACGAGCAGAGCTGGTAACGAGATCCCCACCCCAGGCCCTGTGCCGTGGGGGAGAGGAAGCCGGATTGGGTTCCCCAGAAGCCCGGTCCCTCTCACCTGCCGGGCGCTGGTGAAAGCCAACCGGCAAGTGTCAGATGTCGGCTCCATTCCCGGCGCCGCGGATACTGTCTCTGCCCCAGCTCCCTTGGCCCCGGTCCCAGCCCAGA